CTCTGAGGATAGGACAAGAAGCAATGGGCTTAAATTGCAGCAAGGGTGGTTTAGGTTGGACTTTGGGAAAAAGTTCCTAACTGTCAGGGTGGTTAAGCACTGGAATAAATTGCCTAGTGAGGTTGTGGAATCTCCATCATTGGAGATTTTTAAGAGCAGGTTGGACAAACACCTTTCAGGGATGGTCTAGATAATACTTAGTCCTGCAGGACTATACTAAGATAATACTAAGTCCTTGATTGCAGGAGACTGGAATAGAGGACCTCTTGAGGTCCCTTCCAGTTCTATGACATCATAAAACCAACTCAATGAATAGCACTAGCTATGTTGGAGAGTACCTCCTGCCGACACAGTGCTGTGCATACGAGCACTTATGCTGGCAAAATTTATGTCTCTCGGGGCAGGAGGGGTTCACACCCCTGAGCAACAAAAATTTTGCTGACATAAGCACTAGTGAAAACATACCCATCGGCTCGGAATGAGTTTAGTTGCCCACAAGGGTTCGGCAGGAATTTTGTGGATCAGAGTGGAGCCTAAACCTGGGTCTTATGCACCTAAATCTGAGCCTGAGGCACCTAAGTCTGGAGTTTAGGTGTTTTAGTACCTTTGATGATCAGGGCTTAAGTGACTTGCCAAAGGTTACACAGAAGTTTAAGACAGTGCTGAGAACAGACTGCTGACCTCTGAGTTGACAGAACTACATCTTAGCAACAAACTGCCACTTTTTAATACAAATGGGCTTGAGTTTCTGTACTGCCGCCAAACATAAAATAGGGATAATAATTCTTACTCACCTTTGTAAAGTACTTAACGATCTACAAATAAAAAAAAAAATACTAGCTAACTGGAAATCATTATCATTAGCCACATTTTTCAGATAGTTTAACCAAGGGACAGAAGTACATTGATTTGCCAAGGAGGCTTTAGCTGTGCAAAAAAACCTATGTGCGTTCTAGTTTTGGGTCTGACAGTTTGCTGACTTAACCAACATTGGAAATGAAATTAGACTGTGCTGCACATGCATGTTTTGATAATTTAGCTACCTAAGGAGTATATCTTGTCAGGTGTGTATCAAATGAGACTGGTTCCTTCAAAGCCTTTTTCACCTCTCTTAGTTTAATCTGGTGATCTACCCCATCCCACTTTGTTATATTTCCTATTGTGTAGATAAATGAAAACACTAAAAACAAAAGTAAATGTTTAAAATAAAACAGACGTGAAATTCCAAAACCTTTACAAAGACCAAAAAAAAAAAAAAAACCAAACCACCAACTTTGTTTCAAACAACAATTAAGGCTGTTAAATAACAATGTAGTTTCTTATCACATTATTTACAAAAATCAAACAGTAGAAATGAAAAATTAAGGACATTTACTCACAACAACCTTCACTCTGATCTAAAAATACTATTCTTTCACCAGTAAACTCACACAAAACCCTTTTGAAAAGAAAACCAACAGAATTTTATATTTGAGATTAATGACACATGTTGACCTGCTTCTAATGCAGGCTCACATATATACATCATTTTACTAATCACTAACAATTATCGTCTTAACATTAAAACAACAGTCAAATTTACTCCCACAACACAACAATTATAAGTACTTTAAAAAAAATTCAAATGTCATTTGATAAATATTAGCTAATAATAATTTCCATTTAAGACTATCCCTTGAAAGAAAACTCTACTGAAATAAAGATAGCAAAAAATCTTCAAATAAACCAGCAAACCATGGGTTCGTGTTAGGGTTGTGCTGTGATGAAATTTCTTTATATGGATGAAAATGCGTTCATCTAGGCAGTATATGGGTTTTTTTTAATTCTTAACTATTAATTTCTTTACTTTATATGCTTGAATTTTGTGATTGATAGTGTAGTTTACTCTTAGGCCTGGTCTACACTGGGGGGGATCGATCTAAGATACGCAACTTCAGCTACGAGAATAGCGTAGCTGAAGTCAACATGTCTTAGATCAACTTAGAATCACTTACTTCGCGTCCTCGCGGCATGGGATCAACGGCTGCCGCTTCCCCATCAACTCCACTTCCGCCTCTTGCCACGGTGGAGTTCCGGAGTCGACGGCAGAGCGATCGGGGATCAATTTATCGCGTCTACACTAGACGCGGTAAATCGATCCCGGATAGATCGATCGCTACCAGCCGATCCAGCAGGTAGTGTAGACACGGCCTTAGCAACACTCACTCTTTTTAAAATTACATAAGCTTTTATTTTCTATTAAATTTCTAGCCTAAGAATAGTTTGTTAAGTTATTTAGGTGGATATAAAGAGTAACCAGTCCCCCTGTAATAACGTCACCAACTTACTGTATGAACCAAGATGCATGTTTTAATGTTCTTGGCTGAGTGAGAATGAAATGTAATCAAAGAATGACTAAGCAAAGAAACAAAATGTTTACACAAATTTGGTTACTTTGGTTTGTGTTTTATTTTTAATATTTCCAACTAACTATATACTGATAAACAGAACACGTTCAGAATGTACAGAAAGTCACAAGACTGTATTTGGGCAAAAATTTTTATTTCAGAGAACTAAATTCATCAGGAAATAATTAATGGACTGTAAACGTTTCTTCTACATTGCCTTTTATCAAGGACATCTTCATAGCATAGACTGATTCCATACAACTGATATGACACAACAAGAAATTAACCCTGCAAGGGCTGTTTTGGATTTTATTATTTTAAATGACTGGGAACAAAAACATGGGGTTTGTTCTCCAAAGTGGATTGATTTAAATCATGATTTAAGTCAGCAAGCAGGAAACCTCCATTTAAATAATTGATTTTGATCTTGTTCTGTATTTGTATTTTTAGTTCTTTTCCTAAAGAATGTTGATTTTCATTGATTGGTATAACCATTAAAACACGTTCATACGCAACTACATATAACCTTTACTTTAAATTCAGTACTTTTTTGCTAACCAAAACGATACACTAAATCTATAAACATTTATTTAATCATCTACACAGCTGAATACACATTTTTTCAGATTCTTAGTTTTTACATTTTTATTATGTTAGAAAATGGTGAATGACATTTATCTACAAGATTATTAATTTTTTTACTCATGATTTGTGTCAAGCTAGATTTGGAAAGGAAATTGGAATACAACTAAAAATGCACAAAACAGCATTTTAAAATTAGTTCTTTATTAGTTAAATAAAAGTACCTTAAAGTACTGGGTACATATATAAAATAAGTTTATCAAAACATATTTTGCACTTAAAGCTAATTGATTTATTAAACAATTAAATATTATCTATAGTGAACTGAACTAATTGCTTCAAGATTTTAGAACGAGTAGATCTCGTCCTCTCAGACCTCTTCAATATTCATAGCTTGAAAGACGAAAAAAGTTTTTCTACTTTTTCGACTCCCAACTGGTGTCTCAACTTTGAATAAGCTAGCTACTGAACTAAACTAGTTCAATGAACTGAAATGAAGAAAATATTCTCTCTGTACCTGCAGAACAGACTACTGCTGTCAAAACCTGGTCTTAGCACATCAGCAAGTTCTGGTTCCAGGTGCTTAGCCAGTAGTTTGACTTTCTTTAAGAACTTTGGCAGCAAACCTGTACTGCTTGAATATTTTTGTTTTATTTAAATATAAATGATTTTAATAGATTACAAAGTTAGGCCTTAATGTAGGTTATCAAATTCATATTTAATTTTAAATTTATTTTTTTAAATAAGTTATTTAATTTTAAGAAACCTTCAAGTTTTATTTAACCTGTCATCAATCTCCACCTCAACCACGTTCACATAATACTCACAGGTTAATTTAGTGTAAGAATAAAGTATTCCATCAAAATGTCACTAAAGTGATTTGAATAACTGATTTATATTTCACTTCAATTAGATATAATCTTGTTACATTTCCTGGAACATCCTGAAAGTTTTTACCCATCCTATTGTGCCCTTTTCCACTAATAGTTTAGGACTACAGTTAAGACATCCTGAATTCTGATTTTATAAAGCAGCCATTTCCTTTTATCCTAATAGAATTTAAAATATTTGCTTAAATGTATGTAAGAGACATTAATCATAACAGTATCAGCTGCAATGTTTACAATTAAAACAGAAAGTGGGATGGAGACTATCCCCTTGCTTAAGTTTTGCTCAGTATACACTAGTCAGTAGATTTTATTTGGAAAAGAAGTTTTTTTTTATTATTATATAGTACAGCTACAATCAGGAATGACATAAAATCTCTCTCTTTGATTAACTGATATGTAACTAAGGTAGTTTTTTTAAACCAAAAAATGAAACTGAGAAAGAAACAAAAAGCAGTTTTTTCCCCCATTCTCTGAAAATGCTCACACAGAGACAATTCCCCCTTGGGGGGGGGGGAGGGCGCGGGTTTGGGGGAAAGAAAGAGAAAAAGATTTCAAGGCAATTTTAAAACTAACTCCTTCTTGTGCTGAAAGACTATGATGTGACCACTGAGGTCCCCCTTCCCAGTCTTTTTGTAGCATCCACATCTTTCATCTGCATGCTTAGACTATAAGCTGTTTGGGGCAAGGGAGGTCTTTTTGTTACATGTGTGTTCAGTGCCTAGCAAGATGGGTCCCTGATTTGGGGCCTTTACATGCCACCATAACAGAAATAAATAAATCAGAGATGCTTAGCAAGCATGTCCTCGGAGCCCAGGAGCAGCAGTCCCTTGGCTTGTAAGAGTCATGCCCTGACCAGAGTAACTGGATTTCAGCCATGTATTCATTCGTTGAAGAGAAGGAAGTGACAGACCCAGAGCTGCTGTGGGGACCTTTCAATCCCCTTTTACTGGTGCCTGCTCTCAGAATACAATATTCAGCACCCAGCAGGGCACAGTCCTGCAGTGGGGAGGAATAATCCAATGGGGAGGGGAAAGAGTATTTAGCAAGCCAACTGACAGCTCCTCACTCCCCTCCCCAGAGTCCTTCAGTTTAAAGCCCCCAAGGTCTGCACCCTGTCTGCTGCCACCCCACCCCGACTCACCCAGCAGCGCTTTGAGGTGCTTGAGGCGGGTCAGGACGTCCTTCTTTGGGTCCAGAGCTTTCTGTGTAGATTTCTTGACATCGGCATGGCTCCTTCTGGAGAACATCCCGCAGGGAAGGGAGACTCCCTGACGGTGAGGTGGAGGGATCAGAGACTCCCTGATGCTTGGCGGGTAAAGGGGAGAGCACCCTCTGCCGTGGCGGGGCGGGGGGGGGGGGGTGAGCGCCCCTGTTAAGTGGGGGAGGGAAGCTAGAGATCTGCTGGTTGAAGGAAGCAGCACCCCTGCTGCGGGAGGCAGAAGAGACCCTTGCTGGGTGGGGGAAGGGCTAGAGAGCTCTTCTGCGGGGATGGGGGGCAGCACCCCCCGCTACTGTATGTCTGAGGAGGAGGGGGGGAGAGGGAAGCGTTCCCTGCTGGGGGGCCCGAGGGACCCCCCGTTCGGAGGGGCCGGAGAGCTCTTACTACGCTGCGAGAAGGCTCCCTGCTGCGCCTCGCACCGCTCTCACTCCCCGGGGTGGGCGTGTAAACACGGAACTGACCGGACGCCGCGACGGTTAACTGCCTCCAGTCCGGCGCCGCACTGCGCAGCCGCCCCCGGCCGGGCCGGCCTCCCCGCGGCGCCGTGGAGCGCGAGCCCCGCGCCCCCGCCGCCCCGCGCGCGGCGCCCCGCCCCGTCCCGCCCCGCCCCCAGCCCCCCGAGCGAGCCGCGAGGACAGCAGCAGCCACCTCCCGCAAGCGGGGGGACCCGCCGAGCGCCCCTCCGCGCGACACTACAGCCCCCAGCGTGCAGCGCGGCCGGACCCGCGGCGCCGCGTGGAGCGTTGCATGCTGGGAGCTGTAGGCGCTGTAGAGCCACTTTACAGACACTTCCCCCCGCCTCTTGGCACTAGCTCTGCGCTGTGACCTGCAGGGCCCGCCCCCCACTCCCCTCCCCATTGACACCGGCTCTGCGCTGTGACCTGCGGCCCCCTCCCCCCCCATTGACACCGGCTCTGCGCTGTGACCTGCGGCCCCCTCCCCCCCCATTGACACCGGCTCTGCGCTGTGACCTGCAGCCCCCCCACCCCCATTGACACTGGTTCTGCGCTGTGACCTGCGGCCCCCCCCCTTGACACCGGCTCTGTGCTGTGACCTGCGGCCCCCCCCCCCATTGACACTGGTTCTGCGCTGTGACCTGCGGCCCCCCCCCCATTGACACCGGCTCTGTGCTGTGACCGCCGGGGTTTCCCCCCCCCCCACACACACAACGCCCCGCCCACTGACACCGGCTCTGCGGTGCGATCTGCAGGGCTTCGCTCTCCCGCCCTCCCTCCGAGACACCGGCTCTGTGCTGTGACCTTGACACCAGCTCTGTGCTGTGACCTGCAGGGCTCCCCCCGCCGCATAATCTGAATCATGTTTTGAATAGCTGTGTATTATTTATGTATTTATAGTCCAAACAATGTTCTTAAACTCTACACCTAGTAAGAAAACAAAAGGCCAAATAGATTTGCAGGGGTATAACTGAGAGCCAAAATGTTACTCAAAATTCCAGACCACATACAATTTAATGAGATTCTGGGGTGTGGGGGGGGGTTAATGTTAGTAAACTCCAACTCAGAATTAAGGCCTAAAAAAAATCTACCTCATGTAAATAAATTACCAATACCTTTCTTTTTTATATTACTGTCAATCACAGAAGAATATAAATTATTTATTGGTGAGAAGGGTTGGATGGGGAAACTACCAGAGCTCACAAAACTGAATACTCTTCTCCACCCAGCTTTATTGTACCATTTTAACTAGACTGCTTTAAAATCAGTTATATCAGTGCAACTTTCTCATGTGGACAAGGCCTCAGTCCCCTGCACCTCCTTTCTCCCACCCCTGAACTCTCCAGTACATCTTTTATTGGGCAAGGGCAAAGTGGACGTTGAGCAGGTCTCTGCTTCCTCTTCTTCCTCACAAATGCTTATTTTACTGGTGGCAGTAGTTGAGGGAGTCTCTGCTGCTCCCCACTGCTCCCACATTCCTTCCTCAGCAGCTGCTTTTCTCCCTGGAGATGGGGGAATTTCCTAACAATTCTCCCCTTCTCTGTCCCCTTCCTTTCAGGCTCCTTTTGCTCCAGCAGCCTGCCTGTCCGTGGTGTTTCCTCTTTCCGCTCCTTTAAATAAAAACAGGGCGACCCAAAGAGGCAGAAGCGTATGACGGCAAAGAGCAGGCCTGGGAAAGAGGGAGGTCTTGGCATCTTGCCTCGTTGAGGCAACTTATGCTACCTGCCAAGGTAGAATGGATGCGGGTGGGGAGTGAGCCTAGCCGTAGAGGAGGTGGAAGAAAGTCGTGTAAGGTTGCAAGCAAAGACTGAACATCAGAATGAGAGCTGGGGCGGGGGGGAGGGGTTGAGGAGGGTTGGGACTTTTCATGCTAGCATGTCCTTTTGAGTTCTGATGGATTGGGTCTCAGATTTACTGAGTTCTGTTGAATTCTATTCCAATTCCAGCCCTGCAATTACTTTCATTTGCTCTCTGCTGTACATTTCTGATTTTTGTCCTTTAGTGTTGCCAACTTTTGTGATTTTCTTTATCACTATGTTCACTATATTTGGTGTTTTTCTTAAGGCCCCAGCTTCTGGAATCAGTTGATTATGTGAGAATCTTAGCTTTCGGTTTTGGTTGTTGTTGTTGTTGGGGTTTTTTTTTGTTTGTTTGTTTGTTTTTTTGGGGGGGGAGAGAAATAAGGAACAGTCTAGCCCTCATGGTTTCAGAGAAAAGCTTGAAAACATGACCCAGCTGTAGCCTTGAGGTTCAGAAACCAGAAGGCAAAGGAAAAGAACCCAAATTTAATATTCTGTTAAAAATCTCATGATTCTTGGGCCTGACTCCTGATTATTTAACGGACTTGGGGTTGACAATCCTGTATATTTACTTGGTCTTTTTATCCCAGTTTTACAGGCTAACATCTCATACTAGGAAAAGCTTTAAACCTTGTGACATTGTCTTAAGTTATTTGTCAGGTGTTATTTGTCAGAAAAATTGCAGCTTCCCGAGAAGAGTGAAATAGGTCATTGCTGTTCTTACGTTTAAGTACCTCAAATAACAAATGTGGTTGGCTGAGGCAGAACATAACTCACGGTTTGGCTTCCTCCTTCCTTATTTAAATTAGAAAAATGATAAGTTTCAGTTTAGCTCTTTTGATAATTTCTGCTATTTCCACATTTCTGCCTCTACATTGTTAAAAAAGAGTTTTTTTATTTTTACATAAAATCTGTTGCTATTGAATCAGTCTAATTTTCCTCAAATCACTTAACTTCACACAGCGTTCCTGAATTAAATACACTATGCTCTTCCAATAGTGTTTCCTGATTAAAAGCTACTTCCATGCAGCTATGTTTTAGATACAGAAGATGAACATAATGTCACTGTGAATTTCCATTACTAAAACAAGAAGTCAGTGCCCTAGGAAAAGCTGAGACATTGAACCTGTGCCACTTTCTAATCAAATCTGTAATGCTATTATTTGCTACACTTCAAAGATAAAATCTTAACTAACAAAAATAGTAATCAGTACACAACTAATACTTTGTTATTTTATGGCACTTACACCGAGGAGTCAAAGCACTTTACAATAATCCTCAGAAGACCTGTATGTGATAGGAAAATACTATTTCAATTTACAGATGCTAAAATTAAGTTAGGCTGCATGCCTAGTTCACACAGCAAGTCAGTGGCATGATTAGGAATAGAACCGAAGAATCTGAAATCTCAGTCCTCTGCTATAACCACTCAATAATAATATCATAATAGCGATACTTTATGGCCATATAGTGACTTGCATTCAAGGATCTCAAAGCCTTTTAGAAATAGTAAATTGAATCTCACAGCAACCCTATGAGATGGATAAATATTATTCTTTCCATTGTACAATGATTCGGCTGAGGCTCAGAGAGGTGAAGTCTATAATCAACTTGGGTGCATACCTACATCCATATTTAGGCAACAAAAGTTAAATGGTCCTATTCGTCAGAGGTGCTAAGTAATAGTATTGAAGTCAATGGGAGCTGTGGCTGCTTAACACCTCAGAAAATCGGCTAACTTTTACCTTGTTAACCAAATATGGATTTAGACCTCTAGCTTTAGGCACTCACATTGAAAAGTTTGGCTTGAATTACTTGCTGTCAAAGTCACACCAAGATGGGCATAGAATCCAGATCTCATGACGCATTCCTGTGCTTTAACAAGGGCGTCCTTTCTCTATTAGCACTGTGGAGCACAGTCCCATAAAGTACCGGGTGACTCAGCATAGCATAAACTTTGTACAACTAGAAAGAATGGATTTTTAAAATTGCATGCTTTAAACACTGAACTAAGGTTATCTGGGCCTAACTCTCTGACTTTAGTGGTGTTCTGCTATGGTGCTATGTGGTTAGGTCCTATGATGGTGTCCCTTGAATAGATATGCGAACAGAGTTGGCAATGGGGTTTATTGCAGGCCCTAACCACATCAGCCACACCATCAGGGGCTCGTTCACCTGCACATCTGCCAATGTGATATATGCCATCATGTGCCAGCAATGCCCCTCTGCCATGTTCATTAGCCAAACCGGACAGTCTCTATGCAAAAGAATAAACGGACACAAATCAGACATCATAGAATCATAGAATATCAGGGTTGGAAGGGACCTCAGGAGGTCATCTAGTCCAACCCCCTGCTCAAAGCAGGACCAATCCCCAATTAAATCATCCCAGCCAGGGCTTTGTCAAGCCTGACCTTAAAAACTTCTAAGGAAGGAGATTCCACCACCTCCCTAGGCAACGGATTCCAGTGTTTCACCACCCTCCGAGTGAAAAAGTTTTTCCTAATATCCAACCTAAACCTCCCCCACTGCAACTTGAGACCATTACTCCTTGTCCTGTCCTCTTCTACCACTGAGAATAGTCTAGAACCATCTTCTCTGGAACCACCTCTCAGGTAGTTGAAAGCAACTATCAAATCCCCCCTCATTCTTCTCTTCTGCAGACTAAACAATCCCAGTTCCCTCAGCCTCTCCTCATAAGTCATGTGTTCCAGACCCCTAATCATTTTTGTTGCCCTTCGCTGGACTCTTTCCAATTTATCCACATCCTTCTTGTAGTGTGGGGCCCAAAACTGGACACAGTACTCCAGATGAGGCCTCACCAATGTCGAATAGAGGGGGATGATCACGTCCCTCGATCTGCTCGCTATGCCCCTACTTATACATCCCAAAATGCCATTGGCCTTCTTGGCAACAAGGGCACACTGCTGACTCATATCCAGCTTCTCGTCCACTGTCACCCCTAGGTCCTTTTCCACAGAACTGCTGCCTAGCCATTCGGTCCCTAGTCTGTAGCTGTGCATTGGGTTCTTCCGTCCTAAGTGCAGGACCCTGCACTTATCCTTATTGAACCTCATCAGATTTCTTTTGGCCCAATCCTCCAATTTGTCTAGGTCCCTCTGTATCCTATCCCTGCCCTCCAGTGTATCTACCACTCCTCCCAGTTTAGTATCATCCGCAAATTTGCTGAGAGTGCAATCCACACCATCCTCCAGATCATTTATGAAGATATTGAACAAAACCGGCCCCAGGACCGACCCCTGGGGCACTCCAC